TTGCGAGATTTGCTAATATAATTGGTGAAGGTAATAAATGGGTAGGAGGAGGAGAGAATGTCATAGCTTCATTAATTCGTAAGGCCATTTGCTCAGTTAATGAGCATGGCTATTATGAAATAGAGCTAAAGGATTCTGAAAATCAATTCCAAAGTTTTTTATATATCAAAGATTGTATCAGTGCCATAGTTAATTTAATGGAAAGTGACTATTCAAAACCATTAAACATTGGATCCGACAATACTTTGTCAATAAGAGAATTGGCCTATTTTGCTTTCGAAACTATTGGAATAAGAACAAGAGAGCAAGATAAATTGATAACGGATGATACCAAATCTGTTGGTATTCAAAATCAAAATTCAGATACACTTATTAATCAAGTTCTGGGATGGACACCTGAAACGTCTATTCGAGAGGCTATGGAGAAAACGGCGATGTGGATAAAAAGTGAGATTGAAAAAAAGCTAAATAAATGTGAAAATGAGTTAGCAAGAAAAAAATTAAAAGAAAGCTACAGAAAAGATAGTGAAACACGCATATTGAATGATGAAATCAAATTCGGAATTCTTCTTCCGATTACATCTCGTGGGCTAGAAAGCCCTAGAGATTGTCTTTATAACTTGAAAAATTTCGCAAAAAGCGTGTATGAAACAACACAGATGGACATTATAAACATGAACGGCATTAAATTTTCTTTAAAGTTTTTTATTGGAATCGATAAAGACGATTCTTTATTTCACCCTATGGAAAATAATATTGCAGAACAAATACTTAAGGAACACGGATTAATGGATGTAACAACGCGCGAGTTTGATCTGCCACCTGGATCCATATGTAAAATCTGGAATGACTTAGCAATAGATGCATATATTCATCTGTGTGATTATATAGTACTATTTGGAGATGATATTATAATTGAGAGTACGAATTGGCTCTCCAAAACGTACGAAGAATTTATGAAAATTTCAAATGAGAAAAAAGTTCCATGCGGTTTTGGAACTGTTGCGTTCACAGAATTGACATTTCCAGGTTTTCCCACATTTCCTATAATGTCCCGACTGCATATTGATATATTTGGTGGTAAACCATTTCCACAAGTCTTTACGAACCAAGACGCGGACCCGTTTCTTTTTCAATTGTACCGTCGGTTTGGATGTTCAGTATTGTCCAAACAATTAAAACTCAGGAATCTTATTGGAGGTAGCAGAAAACCACGTTACAAAAGAATATTTCATGACTGGTCTTTTTCTGTTTTGGATGAGGCAGTATTATCCGTTGAAAAATGGATGCATAATACAATAGAAAGTCCCATTCCTAAACTCATCACACTAGATGTGATTGTGCCTTCTTACAGGGTACAAATGCAATATTTAGAGCCTATACTCCGGCTTAAAAGATCTAAAACTGCATCTACATCTATAATAATAATTGTAGATAATCCAGATTCACCGAATATACGAGACCTAAAAAAAT